GGTAGGGGTGGGGGGGAGGTAAACCCTTATTAAGTCTACCTTAACAAACCTTCCAATGTACTACATGTTAGTATTTAGGATGCCACAGGAAGTAGTGAGGTTAATTGAAAAACTCATGAGGGATTTTTTCCGAGAGCCGGGGAAAAAAAGGACCACTTGATCAAATGGGAAAAAGTGATGAAATTGAAAACAGAAGGTGGGTTGGGAATTGGTTTTGTTAAGATGAAGAATCAGGCTTTACTCAACAAATGGTTAAGGAGGTTTCCTAATGAAAATGAAAAGTTATGGCACAAGGTTGTGGCGAGTATTCATGGCATATCAAGCAATGGGTGGGGTGTTGGATGTCTCTGTAGAGTTACCTTGGCTGCCCCATGGAAGGCTATCCATGATTTTCTTCCTACCTTCTTACATCATATCAGGACTGAATTGGAATTTTGGCTTCATTAGAAACCTTAGAGAATCTGAACTTTCTACGATGACTGATCTTTTGAGCTTGCTGAATTCAGTTTTCTTGTGTGAAGGTGGCTTGAATTCTAGAGTATGGGGCCCTAATTCTGATGGGGATTTCTCTTGCAAGTCCTTTTCGTTCTCTGGTTGCCACCTCTTCTTCCTATTCTTTCCCAGTCAAGGAAATCTGGTGTTCTCTCATTCCCCCTAAAATTTGCACCTTCTGTTGGGAAGTGTTCCATGGAAGAGCATTAACACCTTTGATCTACTTCAAAGGAAGAGACCAAATTGGTGTTTGTCCCCCAACTGGTGTGTTCTTTGCAAGTTGAATGGTGAGACTGTGATTCATCTTCTTATCTCTTGCCTGTTTATTAGCTTTCTTTGGGATTGGTTTACTTCTCTCTTTGGATGCAGTTGGTCTTCTCCTGATAGGTTGGAGGGTTTGTTTAGCCCTACTAGCATTAGCTGTACAAAAAAGAGGGGCAGGACCTTGTGGAGATGCACTAGAGCAGCACTAATTTGGACTGTGTGGGAGGAAAGAAATGCAAGAATATTTGGAGAGAAGGAACGGAGCAAGGAAGCCTTGGTTGAAACTATAACATTGAGAGTATAGCCCATTGGGCAAAAAGTTCGAAGATGTTTTCGGATTTCAAGGTTGAAGATTTCTTCAGAGCTTGGGGTATCATTGCTGCATCCTTAACTACAAGACAAATCTGTTGAGGTTTGGTCTCCTCCAATAAATGGTTGGAAGAAACTAAATTTTGATGGGAATTGGTTGGGTAACCCAGGCCCCTCAGGTATTGGGGGAGTCATTAGGGATGAGGAGGGGAATATAATTGCTTTATACTCTGGCCCTGTGGAGCAGGGTGATGTGGCAAGACCAGAGTTTTTGGCTGCAATTTTTGGGGTTGAAAAGGCAAAAGAACCGAGTATTATACGCTGATTATTGAGGGAGATTCTAAAACTGTGGTTAAGTCGCTGGTTAAAGGGGAGGGGGTGGCATGGCACTTGAGGAATGAATTCAGGAAATTCAAATGGCTGTCACAGGACATGTTAATCTGAATGAAATGGTGAGGACTGCTAATAGCTTGGCAGATAGCTTAGGCAAGCAAGGGGTACATAGAATACATATGTTTTGGGCTCAAATGTAGTACTGATTTGGGACAGCTTCTATAGCTGGTTCTTTTTCACAACTTCATGTTGTAATATTGTCTCTCATAATTAATGAAATTTTTTCTGTGTTGCTGATAAAAAAAAGAGGGAGGTGGGTTCTAAGAGTTTCCTTTTTCTGACTTGCGGGTGATATCTTATCTCTTGTAGCCCTTTCTTAATATATTTTCTTTTTTTAATCATAAAAAAAATCTATCCAAAAAATATAATCACAATGAATTGGAAAGAAATGAACTGCTAGTTGGCACTGGCTGTTGGAATGATAATAACAAGACATAATAGTAGCTATGGAGATTGCATCTGGGAAGGGATTCAGAAAATTATGAAGCTTGGTCAAGGGTGCTCCTTTCAAGCTTGGGAGAGGCAATAGGTGAAGTTTTAGGGCACATGGTATGGTGAGGTTCCTAACTCAAGATTGTGAGAGTTCACTCTCCTTAATGAATTTAACATGACCAATTATTTATTTTATTAGGTAGCAGATAAGGCCAACTACTGCTATATGCAAAAGGAATATAAACAAATGGGAATTTATTCAGCTCCATACAACATAACTTGTACATGGTAATCACGAAAGAACCTAGATAGACCTGTTCACTTCATAATGGCCTTGGCAACATCTACTTTAATCTCTGCATCGATATGGATTATTGAACCAAATTAGTAGAAATGGTTGTTTGAAGGTATTTCTTGGTCACTGATATCATTTTCATCTTCAGTCCTACAATTATTATGTTGGCATTGCATACATTCCGTTTTACTCCTATTTGCCTCAAAGTATTGTAAAGCATCATTCCATTATTTGAACTTGCATCTAACCACACTCCAATATCAAGTATTATATTATTGGCAAACAAAATTTACCAAGGGACCTCCTATGGATGCTTATTTAGCCCAATATTGGTTAATGCAAATATGCAAGTTAAATTGTTAAACCTGCCATATACCAGTTCTAGTTCTCCCTTCTCTTTTAGATGTTCTCATGCTCTTTTTCTTAGAAGAGTAAAATTAAAAACAAAAAAAAAAGAAAAAGAAAAAATAAAATAAAATAAAAAGAAAAAGAAGTCACATGAGGAAGGTGATAACTGATAAGCCATCACCCAAGAGAAGAAAATAAAGGCCCAAAAAACACAACCAACTTATGCACATCCCTACAACAAGAACCCTGACCAAGTAGGCACAGCCTGAGCTAACAAGAACCAAACAACAACAGAATAGACATTGCTAAGGAATCAAGCAACTCCAGCTGACTCCACTAACCTATCAAACCATACAACTTGGCTCCCCTTTCTAAAACCAAAACAAAGTAGAAAACCCACAAACTCCTCCCAAAAGTCAAGATTAGTCCTCCCTATCAAAACCCTCTTCTTGTCCTTCTCCCTAAACCCACACCTCTCCCCCTTCCCCTAGAATGGTCTTCTCATGTCATGCTCATGACAGCACCATCACAAAAGAATTGACTTACTTGGGGCTCCTTTTTTTCCACAACCTGCCATATCACATGTCTCTTCACCATGTCAATAACACTCACCCTTGAAACCAACTTCAATATCAATCTTCTAAGTGAAAAACTTTATGTTTGACCTCACTAGCTTTTATGTTTGACCTCACTAGCAGAACCACTCCCCCTAGAACTTTATGTAAGTCACACCATAACATGGCAATAGAAATACCTGGGTCATAACTCATAAGTAAATATCCAGTTGATAGAGCCTATGTGGAATGTGGTTAACCAATTAATTTTGAAGCACCTAGTAAGCAATGCAATTGCCTACAAAAATTTAAAAATATAAATTAAAAAAAAAAGAAAACAGTTGCAGTTGCAGCAGTAATGCCAACTTAATCACCTAAAATCTTTCAAATTAATTTTATCCTCATGCATATTCTATAGAAGAAAGAGATGAAATCTGTTCTCAGATTGTGATAAGACATATTCAAAGGGATTCTTTTATTTTCTAGAACTAAATAAGGAGCCGAGTAAAGATGGCAGCAATAGTATAGTTGGTAATATTAAGACGAAAGCAAATAAAATGAAGTCAATATAAAAGTTCTAAGCTATGGACAATATTGGTATAAAATGGAAAGCAGGAACAGAATAAAATGCATCTAATTGACTTTGCATGAAAGCTTACAAGTACTATAACATATTAATATGTTTTTTATTTAGCGCCAACCTTCCAGGTTCAATAAAATCATGTCTACAAGGGCAAGATGGAAAGATAAACAAAAGAAAGTTGCAGAAAGACTCTGACCTTTACTCGGATCTCTTTCATTGGGTGAGGGGTCATCAAAGATCGAATTGTGGTAACAATAGGGCCCTAAAATGAGAAAACCAACACATGAGAAACTTGACAATATACACATGCACAAATTTAATACAGGTATTTTGGTCACAAATGTTTAGGAATCTTCAAAAGCACATTTACACTTTATTAAAGGAGTATAGATAAATCTGTACGTGTGTGCTCCATAAATAATAAGCATCAACAACCTTACCTGCATGCCACAAACAACTATTTGGTCTCCCTCATGAAGGACTCCATTGACTAGTATCACATCAATTGTTGTACCATGGCCTTCAACAACTTTAACCTCCAATACTGTACACTGGTGAACAGTCCCAACCCAAAATTAGAAACCAAATTTTTTCTACCATTTTAATGCATATAACTAAGTAGGCAGTGACCAGAGAGAAAATTACACCTGCACTTCATTGCTAAACATAAGCTTTTCCACCATAGTTTTCTGAGTCCACTGAACCAATAGCAACAGAAGATCTGGGATACCTTCCCCACTGTTATATTTCCACAAAATCAGAAAGTGAGAAGTCATTAGACCACTTCTCCCCCCCAAAAAAGAAGAAAAAAATAGAAGAGAGAAAAAATAAAAAACAAAGGCAGAAGAAAGATAACCAAAAGAATATCCAATAAAAAAGAAAGACAAAAGAATAAGCAATTTCTTATGCAAGTATGCAACCATGATACAAAGCCTGGCATAAAGTTCATCAGCAAACACCTGATCGCACTTGTAGGAACAATACTGAAAGTTTCCCCCATTTCCTTGTTCTTGTAGTACAATTCTGTATTCAGGCCCTGCTCCTTGAACTGTGTAATAATCTGGGAGCAACAAAGAGAGTTAGAACAGATTAGCCTAACTGACAATCCCCAGTGTGAAAAGGGGGTCTAGATACACTTACCTGAGTAAGCCTCATTTTAAATTCGTTTTGTACATCATTAGATTGTTGCTTCATAGCCTTCACAATTGGTGCATTTGGACAAGTCTTCCATCCATATAATCTGTCCACCTTCATGGCCAAAACAAAGAGAGCGAAGTAGGATTACACTACACTTACCAAACAGAACAATGCACTTTATGTTTCACCCATCAGAAGCATTACTGAACTACTATTTAATAAGAATGTACCTTATTCAATGCAACAATGAATTCTGTATTCCTCATCTTTAAGAGATTCAGGGATTCTATTGTCTGTGGTTCTAAGCCGTGCATTATGTCAACAACTAAAATTGCAATATCACATAAACCTGAACCCCGTGACCGTAAGTTTGCGAATGATTCATGTCCTGGTGTATCAATTATGAGAAGACCTGGGACTCGCAATGTGGCATCAGCTTTTAGTTCCTTGGTTCGCTGCCTAATATTCTCTGCTGGAAAATAGGTAGCTCCAATCTGCTGTGTAATTCCTCCAGCCTCACCCTGCTGAACATTGGTGCCACGTATGCAATCTAAGACCTTAGTTTTACCAGTGTCAACATGGCCCATAATGCAACAAATTGGGGAGCGGAGGTTATCTGCACTACGGTTTGAAGGAACCTCCATAGACTGCACTTTCCCTTTCGCTGGTGCTTCCTTCTTTACATTCTTCGCTGTAACTTCAGCCTCATGTTGATCCTCTTTGCTTTCAATGCTTTTCGTTTTCATAGGTTGGGGAGCAACAGTCTTCTTGACAGCAACCACTGTTTTGGCTGCTGGAGGAGGGGCTCCTACTTCACCAGAAGTCACTGGTGTAACACGCTTTGTCTCTTTCTTCCCAATAGGCTCAGGTTCAGCATCTTCCTCAGCAAATGCACTTTTAACAGGCAAATTCACATCAGCATCATCCCAACTCTTTGCATCCCATTCATCTTCATCATCATCTTCATCCTCAATACCGTTCTCTTGAACTATATGATCAACTTTTTCTTCCAGAGTCACAGTTGACTCTGCTTCTTCAACCTTCTCAACTTCTGGTGACTCCACCTCAGCTAAAGCATCCTGCTGGATTTCCTTTACCTCTACCTTTTGTACATCTTTTACAGGAGCCACACCATTTGCTTGTGTAATACTAGGTTTTGTCTTTTTTGTCTGATACTTGGGCCTTTTTGTTGGTGCACCACCAGTTTCTGCAGGGGGAAGCATAGCACCACCCTGAGCAAGAAATTGATTCCTCATTGCCTCCAACCGGCGAGCTTCTTCCTTCTGCTTACCTGTTAAGAGTTTGCCTTCCTGTTTTTTCTTTAGAAGCTTCTCCTTCTCTCTCTCCTTTTTCCTCCGTTTGGCCTCCTCAGCCAGCCTCTCAAGCTCCTCTTGTCGCCGTCGTTCCTCTTCTTCCTTCCTCAGCCTCTCCTCTTCTTCTCGTTTTTTCCTCTCTTCAGCTTCTTTACGTCTTGCCAGTGCCTCCTGCATTTCTCTAACATGTTTTGGAAGCTTCTTGTCAGAAACTTTGCTCTTCACTTCCTCCAGTTTTTCATCCTTCACCTCCACTGAAGATGCAGCTGCAGCTGCTGCTGCCGCCTTCTTCTCTTTTTCCTTTTCTTTCTTCTTTTTCTTCTTCTTTGCAGCTGCAGATTCTCCAGCTTCCACTTCAGCTTCCTTCTCCTCACCCTTATCATCAACCTGGACAACTGGTTCAGGTTGAACCACAACCTTTTCCTCCTGTGGAAGAGGAGCAGTAGGTTTTGAAAGGGGAGGGCCTTCACCAAGTTCTGCAAGAATTTTGTCAAGGTCATCCTCCTCTTGAGCAGTCCTTCCACTCTTCTTCTTCTTCTTTTTGCTCTTAGCTGTCTCCACCATATCCTCACCTCCCTGATTACTAACTTTGGCATCTATTGCATTGTTTCCACCAACGTCATTACTACTGCTTTTTACAGAAGGTTGCTCAGGTTCAGCTCCTTCATCTTCAAGGCCAGTGCCAAAACTGGAGGCAGTAAATAGACTATTTTTCTTCTTAGACTTTGAAGGTTTTTTCTTGCCTGAGAAAGCAATTGCCAGGGCATCTTCACTCTCCTTTGTGCTTTCACCAATGGTGTCATCACCAGGCTTGATGCTTAATGCTGGCTCAGGTGCAGAAACATCATTTCCATCCTCTTCATCAAGAAGTGCAGCACCAAACAAGCTACTGCTCTTCTTGGAAGATTTTGAAGATTTCTTCTTACCAGAAAAGGTAATGACAGGAGCATCTTCATCCTCTTCTTTATTTTCATCATTGGTTTCATCCTCATCAGCAAGGCCAACAAAAGTGGAGGTGGTAAACAAACTACTACTCTTATTGGACGATTTTGAAGGTTTTTTCTTCTTACCAGAAAAAACAGTTATGGTATCATTGTCCTTCTCGGTTTTATTTTCATCTGTTCCTTGGTGTGCAGATTCATTATTTTCAAGACCATCACCTTCATCGAGAAGGGCATCAAAAGCAGAAGTAGCGAATGAACTACTACTCTTCTTGGAAGATTTTGAAGGTTTCTTCTTACCTGTGAAGCTAATCACAGGCTCCTCCTCTTCCTCTTCTCCTTCATCGATAATGGCATCAAAAACAGAAGCAGTAAATGAAATATTATTCTTCTCCGAAGATTTTAAAGATTTCTTCTTGCCGGTGAAGCTAATTACAGGCTCCTCCTCTTCCTCTTCCCCTTCCCTGCCATCATCCTCCTTGAGCCTATGTGCCTCCTTGGCAGCTGCCCTCGAGGGAGGTTCATCATCCTTATCATCCTCCTGCTCCTCAAGGGCATCAAAAGCAGACGCACTGAAGATGCTGTTACCACTTTTCTTTGATTTCGACTTCTTCTTACCAGTCAACACAACAGCAGGAGCATCGTCCTCCTCCGCTTCTTCAACAGTTTTCTCTTCCTCTTCATCTTTAGGCTTTGCCGCCTTGGAGTTGCCCTTCTCTCCCTTCTTCTTCCCGGCAATGGGCATAATATCATCTTCGTGGTTTTGTTTCTCAGGACCCGGTTTTTGTTGATCTTCGGACAACTCAATCCCAATGGAGTATTCGTCATCGTCAATGACATGCCCTTTCTTCTTCGATTTGCCCCCGCCTTGAGTTACAGGGTTATCGTCGTCCCGGGCTGCGGGCTTCTTTCTACCCATTGAGATTACACAGTTCCTGCCTCTGTAAAATTGGATTTAGGACAGACATCAGATTGCAATCACAATCTTCAATATCTATACATGAAAAAGGAAAACGAAACTGGAGATGCCAAAAGCACCGTAACCGTATAGATCTCTTCTTAGGATGAGAATAAAATAAATAAATAAATAATGAGAATTGTCTCGGCGGCACGGAAACTAATGGAGTCCTTAAAAATAAAAACCCTAATTCAGAAGATGAAGCAAAAAAACAGTATAACCGTATAAGAAGATAAAGCCGATACATATATATAGACAACATGGAGAGAAGCGGTTCAACAGAAGGGGAAGAGACGTATAGAGCTCACCTATCTGGTGTTCGGGGATACGACCACAGAGGACTGTAACGATGACGATAGGATTCTGAATTTGACGATGATGAAGACTGATCTGACGTTTAGGGGTTTGTATTGCAATGGACGGAGTTAACCACTCCAAATGCCGGAACACCGCTGCAATAAATGGACTGTTGATGTGCGAGCGGAGAAGGGAATTAGAACAAAGGATCATCTCTGTGTGCGTTAGGGACGATATTAGGGATCTCCCTGGACCGGGCCAATTTAGCCCCAAATAGTGTGGGCAAGGCCAATCTAAGCCCCGACAATATGGGCTGGGTCTTTCAGATTGGCCCAGTTCAATGTGCTTACTGCTTAGTGCATTTTGATTTTTGACCGTCTATCAAAAATAAATAAATAAATTCTCCAAAAAATGCTTTTGCTCTTATTTTTTATAAAAATACTTATTTACAGAAAATTTATTATTTTTATTAAATTGTTTAATGTTTAATTACAACCCATAAACATATTTGGAAAATGGGTTTGAAGACACATTGAACAGAAAAATAAAATAATTATACAATAAAATTAACTCTGCAACTCATTTTTCCTACACTTACTTAAATATTGATAGTCGACTCCTTTAACATTTTAGTGGCAATCTAAAATTAGAAAATTAGTATTAATATTTTGTTGATAGTTGCAACATATCATAATACTTCATCGCATGTGCATTTGTCCGTATAAGTCTATAAGATGAAAAGGGAGATAGAAGATTGAAATAAACCGACTAATGTTTTTAAGGGTGGTCTGGATACGAGGCGCAAGTAACAGTATTATTTTATATAAAAAGACAAAAATAAAAATGTTCAACCAAAGAAAAATGATTTACTTTAGAATATATTGGGACCTCAAGACAAGAACCACTTGAGTTGTGGTATAAAATCTCAATCTAACAATATTTGTATGGAGCAAGAAAATTAAAATACACAATAAAATACTACTAGTGTAAGAGTACATGTTCCCTTCTTTGTTTTCTTGTGGGTGCGGCTGATTCATTGAATTTGAATCCATTTCCTGTGAGGATTTGAACTCGTTTCCTGTGTGAAGGCTCTCTGGACCGTCGACAACATTCTCTGCCATCTTCCCCTTTCGTTGGGTCCTCACTCAGTTCGGTGCTTTCATAGTTCTTTGTGGCTTGACTCACTTCCTCACTATCTGGACCTATGCCCCTCACTCCTTGTATGTTATGCTTGCTTTAACCATTCTCAAAATACTCACTACTCTCGTTTCTTGCACCACCTTTATTACCTTAGTTACACTCATTCCTCAAGTGCTTAAGGTGGTGGTTAGGGAGGGTTTGTTGATCAAGAAAACTAAAGAGCTTGGCCAGGAGGTTGGTTTGATGAAAAGGCAGGAGGAAGGGCGAGTCAGTATGTTCACATGCTCACTAGAGAAATCCGCTAATCGCTTGACTGCCACACCATCTTGTATACCACTCTCGTCCAGCTCTCCAACGTTCTGTTTCTGGACAACTGTGACATTTGGATGCCGGATGAGCTCAATTCTATGATGAATTTGACGCATGAGTTAAAGTGGAAGGACGATTTGGTTTCTATTCCCGTCAATGACCCCGAGCTGGTGGACATCCTCCAAAAGCGGGTTAGGGTTTTGGGACCTAATTCCAAGTTAGGATGGGTGGCCGAAAATGGACCTGTTGTTGCTATTCGGATGCCCATGCTTAGAGTTTCCAATTTCAAGACCGGCATGCCGGAGATGATGGAGACTTGCTATGCCATTTTGGTATTGGTCCTTCCAGCAAATGGGAATAGGGACTGGAGCTCACAGGAGCTTGAGATCGTGGAGGTCGTTGCGGATCAGGTTGCTGTGGCTCTGTCTCAGCTGATGTTCTTGAAGAGTCGTTGCTAATGAGGGAAAAGCTATCAGAGCCGAACATGGCTCTAGAGAAAGCCAGGCAAATGGCCTTGATGGCGAATGAGGCACGACGCTCCTTCTAAAAGGTTATGGCTATGGAGATGATCACTCCCAGCAGATCCGTCGCTGCAATTCTCTCGGTGTTGCAGCATGAGAATTTCAGATCTGAAAACCAGAAGAGGTTAGTTGATACAATGGCAAAAGGTAGTCTTCTGTTGTCTGCTCTCATTGAGGATGCTACAGGGATTTTAGGTTTGAACTTAAATTATGTATACACTACCAAGAAAAATGGTCTAAGCCGGCTGTCTCAAAACCGCTAGCATAGGCCTAAAGACCGGCGGCTTAGATATAAATCGGCGGTCATATGCACGCCGCCTAAGCTGGCATCGCCTTATATCAAGACCGTCGGCTTAGGTAGGAATGACTGTCGCCTTTGCTTCCTGGTCCAAGGCGGTTCAATGTTATCAAAAGCGACAGGTTTTCCATGATCACTGACTTAGTCTGATTAAACTAGTGGTCCAAACTGCCGCCTTAGGTGCCATATGACCGCCGGCTCAATGATTGTTAATAGCTAGCTGGCGGACATTGACCGCTGCCTTAGGTCTTATCTGGCCCATACTTCTATCTTGCTCATAGCTAAGCCGACGGGTACTAACCGCCGGTATAGACCTTTTTCTTTAAAAAAAAATTTATACGCCTACTTAATTTCAGCATTTTTTGTACCTGAATTTTTCTAATGATTTAACATTTTAATATGCCTACTTATTAGAAATCCTATGACAATTGATACATGAAAACTTTGATAAATAAAAATGTAACTTAAAACAACTAGTAATTTAAGGATTAATTATATTAGAAAAGTCCAAAACAAATTGTTCAAATACAATATTCAATTGACATATTAACGATACACGCCACTAGTAGTGATATTTGTCTTCCTTTTGGGCATTCAACTTTGGGTTTCTCGAATGTCCTCACCGCTCCTTGCAAGTCAAACATTAGAATAGGTATGAATCTAGGTATATCATAGCCTCTTTAGAGGATAAACTAGGTATAAATCTGGGTCAAAACTAGGTATGGAGCACTTATCCTCTTAAGAGGATAATGTTTATCAATTAAGAATAGGAAAGCTTATGTCCAAATCAAATTTGGATCATTTCCTAATCAGATTAGGAGTTTGTTCCATATAGAGATAAAGAGAGAAGTGGGTGAACAAGTCTTGGACTCTTTATCCGCATTCTTGCTTTCTCTTCTTCTTCTTTCTTCTTCTCTCTTGTCTTTCAAAATACCCATCATGAAATAACTGATTTCTATTAGTTTTCTTTCATTTTCTTGCAATAAAAACATTGAAGAAACTCATGCTCACTCATCCTACTCGATCCAAACCAGTTGGATAGCAGATTTGCTGAAATCAGAGTTGTTGAATCAATTTCTCCCGTACACTGCGCCATTTTCAATTGGAGGCCAATTTTGGGAGTGTTATTGGGCGTGAACTTCCACCTTGGGAGCTACGTTTGTGGTCTCCGTATTAGGTATAATATCATTTTAATTTGGTTTCAAATCTTGTCTAACTTAGTGCAATATCGATCATGAAAATTTAGTTTTCAAATTTATCGAGAAATCGGTTCCCGAAAGGGTTAGAATTTTTTTTGAAATTTTGCCTAACCATCTAGCATGGTTCATCCATCCATATAATGGATTCTAAACCCCTCCAACATGAACTACCAGAGAACACATTAGAAAATGTTGAAAATGAACAATTAAGGGGGTGTTCTCAAAATGTAAAGTGTTTCGCTTGTTGTGATGTCCAAAATAAATAAATAAATCTACATATATATATATAGACAAAGCTTTTTTGGTGGTAACAAAAACAGTCATATTTTATTCTAGCAAGCACAAAGTAGATATCAAGGGATGAGTTATAACTTGCGACTAAATTTAAAATCATACCTTAGGGATTGCTTTCTTGGTTGTCGATGGCTCACCATCCTCAAAATCCGTAATGATGGTGTAGTAGCTTTTTTCCATTGTCACTAGTCATTCGCAAACACCTAGTCCTCTTCTTCCTCTTCGGCGTAGTTGAGGGTTCATTCTGTGTAAGGCTCGATAGTTACTGTCCCTCCACCTTGACTATCCTTGTTTCTCTTTTGTCGACCAATTTGGTGTAGTAAATTGTGTCTTGTAGGTGGGCCTCTGATTTGTTAAAGGGAACTCTAGTCGTTGGGATTCTTATTACACGCCCCTTATGTTTGGCCTTTATACACTGATGGTACGTTGATGGGAGTAGGGCCAGGCCATGTATCAGTGGCCGCCCTAACAGAGTGTGATAAGCAGTCATTCCTAAGATCACTTGGAATTCCTGCATGATCGAGAACGACCCTATCGCGACTGGCAGTTCGATAGACCCCTCCGTGATGGATGCATTGCCGCTAAAATCTGTCAGTTCCATAGGCAAACTTTTAACTGTCACCTTCTGTATACTCATCAACTTTAGCGTATGGATGGATATTAGGTTTACAGAGCTCCCTGGGTCAACCATGGACCTTCTCATCTTGAAGCCCCCACCTATGGTCGGTGGCTAGTATGTCATCCTGAGTAAATTCTACACTAGTTCGGTTAGATTGGTGTGGTTCCAGTGGCCTCCTAAATGTTTCTGTCAGTGCTCTGATGGCCAACCTCCTCGTTGAGGCGCTAGCTCCCTATCTGCTGAAAAATTGCTAGAGCTCCGGGCTCTGTTCAAACCTTTCTATCAACATGTCAAGATGATACTGGCCTGGTGCTCTGACTACATTAATACTTCCTCCCTGAGTGTGAGCCGGGAGGGGGTCTGTCTCTACTTGTGCTTGGTTCCTTTTAACAAAATCATCCAATTTTACCTTTTGTACAAATAATCTTCTTAGAGAAAAACAATCCATCAAATCATGATGCGGTGATTGGTGAAAGTTGTACCATCTTCCTCTACGTCTTTCCTTTTTCGGGTCAACCCCTGGGGGTGGTGGTGGCAAGTTAATTACTCTATCCTCAACCAACTTGTTCATAATCATAGCAACATCCTCCTTGGTGTAGGGAAAAGGAGCAGGGATTGGTAAGCTGCTTCTTTTACCTTGGGAGTTGTTATGGTAATAGGGCCCCTGCCTGGGCCCTCCAGCATTGCGAAGCTTGCGGTCAACAGCATAAGCTTCGTTCCTTCCATACTGCCATAGTATCGGTGTAGACTGGGTTGAAGTGTTCTTAATGGTGCCCGATGTCCTTTCTGTGCACCTCCACAATTAGCTAAACATGTCAATCTCCACATTTTCAATGCCTATTCTATAAGCAGGTTGC